CAATCAATCGGCAACATTGGTGCCTTGCTCTTTTTTTTTACGCATATTTGTTTTATTACGATATTTCATTATTCTGTATCATTAAAACACACCATAATTATCATGTAACCCCCGGTTAAACCATGTGAAATATATTTACTATAACAGCTGGCGATTCACCCGTCAACGCTGAATTCTTCATATTTGCCCCATTGTCCTCTTGATACCAACCCAGCTTGCTTTCCTGTCGCCTATGATTTTACAAAAGAGACTCCAACTACATTTCTCTTCACTGGTTAGAATATCCTCATCCCACAAATCAGTGACTTAGCTTCCACTTCTAACAATGAGAAATTTCTCATATGTCGTTCCATCTCCTCTTTTAATCCCAACAGAGCCCTCTTTCACCAATGAACCCAAGAAACCCTAAACCCCAAAACGACCATGTTTCGTTAATCTCCCAAGCAATGCTCCTAAGATTTAACCCCCCCCCCCCAACCGGACACAAAAAGATCCCTCCGGTAATGAACTCTCTCGAAGAGAGAATAATTGCTCTCAGAGAGAGAATCACAAAGAATCTGTTTGTTTATTAAAAAGTTCATAGTCATACTCAAATTTAATTCAACTTTAATTCAATTCACTATCCTCAATATTACCAATATAATTAAATAATATCAATCCATCATTCTTGCACATCAAATAAACTTTAATTCACTATTAACCAATTTCATATAATTTTAATTAACCATCACTCCACATAATTTCTCTTCTACTTTCAAATCAAAATCAAATTTAATTATTTTATTTTAAATATTAATTTAATATCCTACTAAAAAATTAACCAAACTTACTTTTTCAAAATTAACCATAATTAACTAAAAAAAATCAGTAAAAATTGGTTTATTTGTATCAAACACGCCCCTAATTTCATAGTTTGATGAAAAACCTTCTTTTCCTCAGACCAACAGATGGAGAAGACGATGCTGCGTTCAATCTACAGTTTTTCTCTTATTCTGATGCCTCTGCTACTCATTCAATCACAACCTATTCAGGTACTCCTTTTTCTTGTAAGATCCAGTCTTTGTAAAATTTGGACCGTAAAATCTTGATTTTGAGGACTTTGGGTTCACTTTTTTTGTGTGTATGTGTCTTTTTTTTTCATCTGGGAGCATTGTAGATTCGTTCTAGTTTCCATTAGAAGGAGTGAAGAAGATTCGAGCAGAAAATAGGAAAAAGGTTTGTTCAGTAAAGTTTTATGCTTCTCTAACTATACCAAAATTAAGGCCCATTAATCTAATAAGATTTGTTTCATGGGATTGTTTGAAGTGAGAAGTCGTGTAATGATCCGGAGCTTAATCTCATACATTAATAAGGAAACTGGGTCAGAAAGTGTTATTGATTATGGATTAGGACAACAGCATGTCTTAATGAATAGGCATGGTCTTGAATCTAGAAGGATGTACATAAGACTGTGAACAAGCCAATGTTGTGGCAACAGAAATATTGTTTTATTTTATCCACTCCCACGGCGCTGCATCCTGGCCACAACTCAAGTTCATTGCCATGTTATCGCGTTCGTGTCACCGTTTGAGTCAAAGACGATTTCTATTAGATTCAATAAGTCCGACTATGTTGACTTGTGCTTTTTATGCATGATTGATGATGGATATTGGTGTTCAATATAGTTCACTCATGTTATGATACAATTTATTAATTTGTTATACTTCGTTTATGCTAGAGCATTGCGTGTATTAATTGCTCTCTGATTGTTTATGGCTTTATGCCTTTGCTGTCTCATGATGAGCTGTTGTATATTACAGGATCGGATTAAATCTTTTGATCCGCCTTTTAAGTCCAGTGTTCTAAAAGGCGCTAGGCGCTCGACCAGCGCCTAGCGCGCCTAGGCAGGGCCTAGGCGGCGCCTAGTCGGGGCCTAGAAATCAATATTAAATATCTTATTTTTTATTTATTTTAACTACCTACAAACAAAATTCTCTTAACTTATCATAAATCGACACACCTAAGTCTAAATAATAAAATTAATATATTTTAAAGAAAACATGAGAACAAAATAATGTAATTAGTATTTAAAAATAAATAAATAAATAAATAAAATTAAAAATTGCCGCCGAGCCCGCCTAGGAGCGCCTAGGTCCGCCAATGCCCGCCTAGGCGCCACCTAACCGCCTGGTCGCCCAGCCCGCCAAGTCCGTCTAGGATCGCCTAGGGCCGCCTAGGCGCCTGGCCGATTTTTTTTTGCCGATTTGTGCAAATCGGAGGCGCCGGGGCACCGCCTAGCGCCTAGGCGCCGCCTAGGAACAATGCTTTTAACTGATTTGCTATCGGCCAGGGATCTTTTCCTTTTAGTTATTGCCCCTTCTTTTAAGTATGTTGCCACTTCAGTTGGTTTTAAATATTAATTTTGCCAATATCTTAATGAGTAATGTCATTTTTCCGTACCATAACTCAGAAACTGTAAACTTCGTAGATATCAGCACCTTGTTACTTTTGAATTTGCATTAATGTCATAGGAAAGTTTTATTTTTAATAGTCATGGTATTTTTTTACAATGCTATTCCCATTAGCGATGGCCGATGAGTGTGCGAAGTTTTCACATTAAAATATAACTCTCCTCATTCATTTTTACTTTTGTCACAGGGTAATGACAGCGATGCTGCAAGGTAACATTTTCTTCTGTTTTTGTAAAACTTAGATCTTTTTGGTTGTTTTTGAATCAACTACTTTCGTCAACCTTACCTGTTGATTTTAATCTTTTTTGAGTCGCAGTTTGGTTAGGAGGTTCTTATGTTAGAGTACTATTTAGTAATTTATGTTGCCATTGACTGAAACACGTCATGGTTGAGAGTCCAATATCAAGTTATTTATGTCAGAGAAAAATGATGTTTGTAGTCATAGTGTTGACAACATATAATTTATTGTTATAATGCTTAGACATCTTAGAGAAGAGCAGCCTGAAGTTCATTGTTCAAGAGAGAGGAGCAGAGCAGCCTGGAAAATAATCGAGGAGGTATTCCGAATTTGCAAAAGTCTAATATCTGGGATGTGTATTGGCACTTCTATTTCATAATGTGACATTGAAGTCGCATTTTGCAGTATCTCATGCCTTTTGTGGAGAAAGAAAAGTATCAACTTTCAAGCCAATGCAGACTTCATCCGAGCAATGATATATTTAGAGAACAAGAAGAACACAAGATTCATGTAGACGTAAATGAATGGAGATGTGGGTATTGTAAAAAAACCTTTCGAGCAGAAAAGTTTCTTGATCAGCATTTCGACAACAGGCACTACAATCTTCTCAATGTTGTATGTGATGGTGCCTTCACTTTCATCCTTACCCAGTTATGTGTTCAAACTGATTGGTGCATTTGGTGCAATTCCTGCAAATCACAAATGAATTACATGAATTGTTAGAGGTTGATCTACTGCTGAGTCTTAATTTATATTAGGAGTTCTGCGTATTCTGAAATTTTAAATAGAATATGAATTACAAGGTTCATGTTACTTACTGATCTACCTAAACATGTTAGATTATCTGAAAGAGTAAAGGATAGAAGACTTGGGAACTCAAATCCTTCTGGATATTCAATTTCCTTACCTCATGATTTCTTTGTACCTTTCCTCTTATACGAAGCTATTGGAGGGCTCCATTACCTATGAAATAATTTATTTCTTGTGATAGAGTGTTGTGCCTTAGTCCAGAAGATTGTGTTACCAGGTTTTGCAGCTGCCAGGACTGTTTTGGACTTCGTCAGCCTGTCAAAGATCTTCACAAGATTAAATTTGTAGTTTGATTAGTTTGAGTCTTTTTTGCCTTATGTTGGTCCCCGTGGTTAAAAAGAAATAGAATTTTTTATATCATGTGGAAATGAAAGAAAAGAAGGGTCATGCTTGAAGTTGCTCAATGGATTCCAAATCATAATGTATAAGTATTTTGCTGTATGTGGCATTAATAACAGTAAAAACCACTCGAGAGTAAAAGTACCCATAGGGCCAGATGGAGATGCAGTCAATCAACAGAATCCCCGTGCAAGTAGTATTGAGGAAATTATTGGTTAAAGCATATTGAGGTTTATTGCTTTGATTATAAAAATAAAGCATAGCCAGAAACAAAGAAAGCCTCCCAGCACAGAACAATTCTGCTTGAAAGAATTGAACTTCCCGAGATTTGCCAATTTCAAAAAAAGATTCTGGTGTCTATCAGTCTTCCAAGATACCTCGAACCAAGCTTCAAGGACTCTTAAATTGATCTTTTTATCTGATTCCTCCCTACTTTGTATCTCTATCCTAGTATATTCTGTTGAGTTATTATTCAGATTGTGTTAGCTGCTATTGATCTTCATTATTCAATGGGTTTCAACATGAGTAGCACGTTGTTGATCATCGCTATTTGCTTATCTGTTCACACTTGATTTTTTTTTTTTATGTCAAAATGTGAATAAAATGATCCGAGCTGGTGCAGAACCGAAATATCATTCCATCTAAATTTTTACACCAGGCTGTATATGACATGATCAATTCCTTCTTGAATGTGTGGGCCATATGATCTCAAAGGCATCTGTGTGTTTCTTCAACTGTTGCATGGCCTTAGTTGGAAGTTGAACTTGTATAACAAAATGCGTACTGACTACTGACCAACACCACTGTCCCCTTTCGTGCGTTCAGAGTCATGGGAAGTGCTTAGCAGATTTTTGTGGAGCCTTGCATTGTGATTTTGTGATTAATTCTCAATCTCATAAAACTAAGTGCAATCCTGCTGCGGCTGCAAGAAATCGTCATTTATGCGAGGTTGCTTTGTAATTTGTATTCTTCTCACTGATCTGAGACCTTTTCTTTTTTTTTTCCTTTTTTTTTTTGTTGCTTTTTTTTTATATATATATATTTTTTAATATGTGGTCTCTTTGCAGAATGTAGCTGATAGCTGTTTTCCTGTTAAGGATGGTCCCTCAGTGACTCGCCTTCACGGTAGCAATTTTCTTTAACCTGTTAAACTGGGAAGTCACTTTTTGTTCTTCACGTTGTCTTGTAAACAACTCCCTTGGGGTGATATCTGCAGAGTTCTTTTTGCGCCAATTTTGTGATGCTCACACTTGCTCGAAAGGGCAAAAACCTTTCGCAAGGGGAGGCAGGGTAAGTGGTTATTGTGCTTAAGTAATAAAGACGAGTGAAGTTTGACTAAACACTCGGTTATTTGCAAAATTAAATTATACAGTGTGTTTTGGAGTTAATTGATAATTGATTTGAGTTGCTCTTTCTGACATTATACGGGGTTTGTCCCTTTTTTTTCTGATTTTTCTACATAATTATTGGTTAATTCGTTCCAAATGTGCAGAAGCATACAAGTATCTTCTACCTGGCGACATCTGTACTGGTTTTGATGTTCCTTCCTATATTCTACTTGATTGTGTACTTGTACCAAAGGTACTTCTTTCTTGTCCATGAATTTACAAAACTGTACAGGGATATCAAGCAAAACACGCTCACGGTGCTCTTGCTGTATACTGTAGGGAATCGAGAAGAGGGACAACACAACTTAAGCGCATTTCAAAAGCTGGAAGAAAATCAAAGCCTTCTTAATGGGGTATACTGTAGTTTTAATTTTCTTGAATTTCAGAAAATGAGACGTTACCTCTAGAACAGGGATTAGATTATGGGATTTCATAAGTCCTGGTGTTTTTATCCACCTTCTTTCAACATTCATGTATCTCGTCGGATTATGTATCCTTGTGAATGGTGAATTGAAGGTGGGTCGATGAGGGGCAAGGTGAAAAGGCTAAATTCGGAACAGAAAAACATCGTGCCACATCCTTATTATAAGAATAAGTGATGTTAACTGTGTATGTTTCTTCTATGAGTACTTGTAAAATGTATGTTCCTTGATTGATTCATGATTTTTACTGACTTTACAAATTATCATCTGTGATTAGATATGTTCCTATTGGTGAAATGGAATTGGTAGAAGAATTTACAATATTTTAAATATATATAAAGAGTAACAATTAATTGTATTGATAGTTATAAATATGTTATATGCATAGTAATAATTGTGGGGAAAAAAAAAATATAAATGAATAAATGGAATAAAATTGAATTGAAAATATGAAATGAATAATCAACTGAAAGTATGGTATGGTAGTGTGTGTAGAATTTCAGAGTCCAACACCAGCTACCAAGATGACTTGGAGGAAGACGAGGATTAGCCATTGTGGCAGAACAGATTTTATGGCCTCCTCCATCGTCTTTTTCCCTACAACGATTCTTGAGAATCGGACAAATTTCCTTCTCCAATTTTGGAGGTTCAAAATCGTATCCAAGTAGCAGCCTTCACTGTGATAAGTTAAGCAACGACATATGCAAACACAACCAAGAAGTCAAGACAATTCTGCACCAAACTGGAGCCTAAACTAACAGTTCGTCAGTAAGTTCTATGAAACGGTGAAATTCAGTTCGGACAGCATAGGATACATACAACATTATGTGTGCTGATAAATAAGCAATTAAAATAATATCGAAATTAAAAAAAGAAAAATCCCAGTATTTCGAGAAGATTGCACTTTCAGCTATCAGGAAGTTTCGTCTGAACAACTTCAGCAGGCGGCCGCAAGGTACAAACCATCTCTTTTGTCTTCCCAAAATAGACCTGAAAATTGAGTTCAGGATTCTCTAAGTTACTGCATCCTCACAGAAAAATAATAATAAGAAATGTAAAACAGTTGAAACTGGAAAAATATAAAGATCGTAATGTAAGGCTATGATAGTTAGGAAAAGAATGAAAATTACCTGATCCAGAGAGTTTCTCAGCTTGCCCTCCATTTCTTCTATCATCCTTCCCATATTACATAAATGACCCTCCTCAACCGAAAGCTCCATATTCATCTAGACATACAAGAAATAGACATACAAGAACATCATGTAACGTATAAAACACAGAAATAGACTAAACTGAATCATATTAAATAAATTTCAAGCAAAAGTCAACAAGCTCATGCACAACAACAAATAACCTGTCTTCTAATTGATCCCGACAAATTGAAGGAGCCTGAAGACTCATGATTTGTGGTTAATGAGAGCATAACTGAACTTGTCAAACAGTAACGAGCAGTTTCTTCCTCCATGGGCCCCACCTACAAGTACACAAATAAATGTGGTGTTACTACGATTAGGAGGAATGCTAATCTTCTACAATCTTTTTGAGCCCATTTCATTTGGTCTGACTAGGTGATTTGATATACCTCAATAACATGTATGGCATCCCAAGATCCTTCTTGAAGATAGCCTCTTTTGCCATCTGCAGTCTTCGAGCCATCTTTACTCCAAAAGAAAAGAAAAGAATTTACGCACAGGAAGAGGAACATTATTTATAATAAAATTGAGGGTGAGCTAAGCACCTTTCTTAATTAAGAAGCAAGCTACAAATCCGTCATTTTCATCTTCCCACATATACACCGACGAAATTCCACCTTCATAGTACCTTGGCCATTGATGAGTCAATTTAGCTGCTAGGAGCTCTTAAACAACAAGATAAAAATATAGGAAAATATACGACAGACGGACAAAGCTAAATATTATGTCATCAGGTGGATAGGAAAGCAAATCAGCAAAGATAGCACTGTACTCTTAATCCTTCGAATAGAGGCAAGTAAGAGCAGTGTTATAAATGGCGGATGGAGGTAAATGGCGGCAGGCCAAAATCCAGCCATGAATTGACCACCATCCTTCACAAATTTCGCATGGCGGTTTGTCAAAAACCAGCCATGGCGCTGCCATTTGATAGAATAAGCTCAAATAAGAAACGAGAAAGCACGAGGTAAGTAAGGGACCTCACTGGTCACGATAGATAGCAAAGACCTCATTTGCTTCAATTTCAAGTTTCCTCAATTCTGGTGATGGAATAGGTCCGTCGTCTAATGGGGGATGGTATTTATTTGACCAGGGCGACCTTCAGGTCAAAACATGACAAACAAACCACAAGTAACAATGTCTTCAGTTATGCCGGCAAATAACAAAAATATCAAAACAAATGTGAATCCCGCGAGAAATCTTGTTAATGCATGCTATGAGCTAATCCAGGGTTACTCCCATATGCATCGGGAACGAGTGTATCTGAAAAATGTTTATACAGTACACATATGTACCTATAAGAGTCTGCATCTCTATTATACTCGCATAGTAAGAACTCCTTCTCGTTATCCACGTCACATAAAACCTGACATATCATATTCAGACTTCAACATCTTGTGGATAAAACATTCGGAAAACGGCAAAACCTATCAAACAGTTCAACGATGATAAATATGATTCGCAGCACGAGCACAGAATGACATGCAACCAAGCTAGAGAGATGGTCGTAAAAATTAGAGACCCTAAAAAAGGGCACAACGCCAACAAGAAAAATTAATTAAAAGAAATTCATATGTACAAAAGCATAAACAGCATCAGTTCTTTTAGCCCAAATGAGTTATCCCTTTTCAAAAACTTTCAGTACAGAACTCAGCTTCTTACCACCATATTTCAAAGGAAATATGAGCGAATTTAGGTTGCTAACATTTACATCCGTTTTCAGCTATTTATCGACCATTGAAACCGAATTAGGTATTGAAATACAAACAGTAAGAACAAATGTTGCAACATGAGCAAATCTTCTAAGCTAAAAACTGAATTGACAAAACCCTAAATGATTAGATAATTAATAAATGAATGGTATAAAGATTAAACCTGCAGAGGCTGGTCGACTTGAGAGAGAAGATCCGAGGAGTGATGAGGGAGAAGGCTTAACAATGCTGACAGAGCCGCTTCAGAATGCTTCGGATGTATTCTTCGCATCAATCCCATGGCCGCCTCCATCGTCTCGTCACGAGTTTTTTTCTTCTCTCTCTTTTTGTGTCTATTTCTTTCTGCATTTCAAACATTTACAATTTAATTAATTTTACATTTTTCTTTAAAAAAAAAAAAACATTAATTCCAATGATCATTCCAATTTCCATCAACCGATATTGAGATGTTGTTAAGTGCATGTTTTGGATACAAATATTAAAAAAAAAAAAAAAATTCAATTATTTTACCAATCATTTTGTTTACTTAAATTTAGTTCAATTTTAATTTAATCACAATATCTTGAATAGTAATGATATATTTTCATTGAATGTTTTAACATATTCAATATAATAGGCCTTTTTATATGTGTAAATAAACGGGTTGCAAACAAACTAAAAATTTATAAATTATTGAATGCATCTTTGTACACAATATTTTTTGATTGATTTGTTGGCGAGCCATCGTCAACACGGACATTATTTTCAAATCACTTCAATTGAAAACACTGGAGACAACAATTGACCATGAAAACTCGCTTCTTAACAAATAAATCGACTTTCAGAACAATTGTCGGTAACACAAATCATCAATTATGGATTCAATCGTGACACATATCCAATTATTAGTTTCTTTCATATAAAATGTTGGTGTACATTGTATCTTATGTATTTACTCTTTTAGCCTTAGTTACTTGGTTGGTAAGTTATACTTGTAAACCCTAATCTTTGGTGTATATATATACACGGCTAGGGCATCTCTCTCGGCATCAGATCAGATGATCGATTTCACTATCGTGTGATTTTCTTCTATTTTGTCATGGTATCAGAGCAAGGTTGAGATTTTTTTCTCTCGTACTGCTCACATGATGTCTCATGTGGTTCTTTCTTACCGGGCCACAAGTCATTTTTAGCAGCTCTTGCTTCCGCGGTGGAACCTCACACAATTGATGAGGCTGTTGTTGATCCTCGGTGGATAGTGGCCATGCAGGAAGAGATTCAAGCGCTGGAGAATAATGGCACATGGGTAGTTGTTTCCCTTCCACCTGGGAAACGTGCGATAGTATGCAAGTTGGTGTATAAAATCAAGCATAAGTCTGATGGTTCGTTGAGCGCTTTAAAGCGCGTCTTGTTATTTTGGGTAACAATCAGGTGTCTGGCATTGATTATCATGAGACTTTTGCCCCTGTGGCTAAGATGGTTACAGTTCGATTGTTTTTTTGTTGTTGCAACTGCCAAACAATGGTTGGTGCATCAGATGGATGTCCACAATGCTTTTCTTCATGGTGACTTAGATGAGAAGGAGTACATGAAGCTTCCCCTGGCTTTCGAACCGATGCGGCTGATCATGTGTGTCGTCTACATCGTTCTTTATACGGGTTGAAGCAAGCTCATTGGTGTTGGTTCGCCCAGTTTGCTGTTGCCATGACACAAAACGATTTTTCTCTTTTTTATCATGATTAATTCTTTGTTTACTCTTCATTGTGGCTCTATTTATTTGAACGTTTTGGTGTATGTGGATGATTTGATTATCTCTGGGAGTGATTCCACGTCTATTGCCGCTTTTAAGAGCTATTTGAGTCGATGTCTTCACATGAAGGATTTAGTCTTTCTGAAGTATTTTTTGGGCATTGAAGTTGCTCGGAATTCTTCTGGTATTTTTCTTTGTCAGCTGAAATATGCCCTTGATGTTATTTCCGAAGTTAGCTTGTTAGGAGGTGATGGAGACGAGACCGCGATAGCGTTTTTGAATAAATTTGATCGTCTTCATGTCTAGTTTATTTATTTTCAATTATTGGTCGTATTTCATTTTGATAGTCTTATTATTAGTTTAGAGAACTTTAATAATTATTATTAGTCTTTTATTAGTAGTTAGGGCATGTTGGACTCTTGCTTTGTGTATTGTCTTTCTACGCAGAAAAGAACAGTTTTTTATCGATCAAAAATAAAAAATATGTTCAAGTACTTGTGCGTGTTCTTCCCATTCTTACATACGCTCTACATCAATTGGTATCAGCATACCAACAACGATCCATGATGTCGCCGAATAGAGGGAACGCTGTAAACGACAACATCATTGACAAACGATTCACGAGGATGGACGATCGTTTTCAAGGGATGGTTGAGAGGTTTACGGACCTTTCAACAGGAATCGAGAAATCGCGATCGACGATGCGAACAATGATGGACGAGGTACATATGAACCGTGTGGGGCCTGACCGGGGCGCACGCGGTGGGATTCGCGGTGGTCGTGGGGGACGAGGTTATGGTGGGGCGCCCCGTTGGCGGTCTCCACCACCACCGCCAGGTGACGGCGATACAGACGAGACTCGCACGGTGGATAATTCATTCGCGAAGGGCCACCAGATACGCGGCAGAGGCGATGGCCTTCGAGCGCAAGGAGGACGTGGTGGACGGCGTGAGGAAGTAGGGTTTGCGGGCGGTAATTTAGGGCCCCGGGAAAGGAGCTTCATGCGTGGTGGTATGGGGCTTGAATGTGATGACTTCTTCGGCCGCGATGGCCTGCTCTCCGATGACGATGAACAGTACCGTCGCGCTGGCGGGTGAGAGGATGACGGGTTGTGGCGGCGTGACGATCGTCAGTTGGCAGACAGCGACGACTTTCCGCGACACGGAGCATTCGGCGAGCGCGGGGGGTTCGCGGAGGGTTAGCAACACCGGCGCGACGACAGAAGTCCGATAGAAGGGGGCGATGCGTCGTGTTGGGAGTTGAGGCTTCGGGTTGATATTCCTGAATTTCATGGCAGGGTTCAAGCTGATGAATTTTTGGACTGGTGGGCAATTGTGGAGTCCGTGCTCAGATTCAAGGAGGTGTCGGACGACCGTCGGGTCGCACCGGTCGGTACTAGGTTTCAAGGTCGAGCAACAGCATGGTGGATGCAACTTACGAGCATGCGACATCGTCAAGGAAAAGCACCAATCTCCACATGGATGAAATTTTGTATATATGTAGAGCATGAGTTCTTGTCGTTCAATTATGATAGTCTCGTGTATCAACAACTTCAAAATTTGAGACATGGGACGTGTTCGGTGGATGAGTATACATACGAGTTCTATCGTCTTTTAACGCATGTTGAAGTACGTGAGACAAAGAACAAATTGATTTCGTGTTATGTTGGTGGTTTGAGAGTGGCAAAATAGGATATGTTGAATTTGTTTCAACCAGAGTCCGTGTCAGATGCTCACCAACGGGCTCGGTTAGTCGAACATCACCTAGCTCGAAAGAATGTACCATCTTTCGCCTCATCGGCGCAAGCCGGTCAGACAACTATTTGTGTGCAGCAAACAGGTCGAATGGCGCAACCTGCGGGGACCGAGGCTGGACAACCGAGTGCAGCTGACTGTTTTCTGGTGCTAGGTGGTCGGCTGCAGCGTCCACCGGGTTCAGGCGGGCCACAACCGAGGGTGATCGGTCCGCGGACAGAGCGGACTTACGGTGTTTTAGCTGCGGTGAAATGGGTCATCGTCAGACAGCCTGTCCACGAGGGTCGGGTACATGAGGTTTATTTATCGAAGATGGTGGGGACCTAGAAGTGGCCGACAACTATGAAGGGCCACCGGTTTATGATGTTGAACTGGGACTGACCGAGGAGCACCATCTCGGGGAGGTTGGTACGACATTAGTTCTCTGTCGGTCTTGCATGACTCTTCGTTCAACGGTTGATGAGGCGAGGGAGCGACATCATAATTTCGAGTCGACATGTACCATCAACGGCAACGTATGTAGATTTATCATTGACTCGGGATCATGTGAGAACGTTATAGCACAGGAGGCCGTTGATAAACTACGAGTCTCTAGTGATCCTCATCCACAGCTATATACTTTGGCTTGGATCCAACGGGGCAATGCGATTACAGTGGACCGACGTTCTCTCGTCTCGTTGTCCATTGGGGTGACGTATAGAGATCAGGTGTGGTGTGATGTTATTCATATGGATGCGTGCCATGTGTTATTGGGACGACCTTGGCAATACGATAGAGCAGCCACTCACGATGGCAAGCTCAATACCTACAGCTTCATTTTTTGAGGTATTAAGGTCATTTTGCATCCGACTCCTCCACGACCCATA